TAAAATGTGCAGCAGCTCATGAATGATTTTGCTTTTGACTTCCTCTCATCTGAACATGTCTCCTTCTCCTCTCTCCTCAGTTCCTTGGATGTATAACGAGATGACGATGAGCTCTTCTGATTCCCCACTTTAAATATGTCTATATATTGTTGATCAAACCCATGCTTTCCTGTTGTGTACAAAATGGTGGACCTAATAATAAAGAAACCAATAATTTAAGAACGTGTGTTGTGCTTTTAGTTTTGTATATAAATGCATCGTATTTTCCAAGTTGATAAAATAAACACATGTATACAAGATTAAAGGCTTGTTTGAGACGAGCTGCGGCTCGCCTCGAAAGTAGACGAGAATAGCCGATCGCAGCCGGGGGAGGTCTCAAAAAGCTCGCCTGAAGTCGGGCAGCTCGGAGTCGGCTTCGTCTTCTTCTTCTTCTCTCGGTTTTTTGGCAGATTGAAAACAACTTTAAGTTGCATATCGCCACCTCCGGAGTCGGCTTGACTCGGTTTGCATTTATAAAGAATGCACAAATTCACAAATGTTTAATTGTTAATGTCAGATATGTACTAAGTAAATACATTTGTTCCTGCTCAAGATTAGATTCAACTTTATTGTTATTGCACATATTACAGGTACTGAGACAACGAAATGCAGTTTATCTTCTAACCAGGTGCAACAAGCAGTAAAGTGAAAAGTAATGTACAAAATCTATAGAATAAAATATAGAATGAATTGAATGATGAACAAACAGTGAGGGGTATGAATACACTAGATATACACAGCAGCCTGTGAGCAGTATGAACAGTGTGTATAAATATGCTAAGATATCAGGGTTGCCAACTTTGGGTACCTGGTTGGAGTGAGATTTTGATATCATGGGTTTAATTACACATATACGCACTAAATTACTGCTATCATGTCAGCAGCGGGACCTTAGCATATATATAGGATATATATACAAATACACAATATTGGACACAGACTATAAAGGGCACACAGTTTCATTCACTCATGAAAGTCAAACACATGTTTGTTTCCACTGTTTTATTGTGTGCCTTTCGCGATAAGCAATTAATTGACTTATGGTACGATAAATAAAAATGAACTCGATACATTTCCATTGACATGAGGATGTGACTAGCAGTTTGAAAGGATGTACTTGAATTATTATTATATATTATCATGATGTCAGTGGTCTAAAATGGTCAGACAACGGTGCCGACAATATTATCGTTTATCGCAATCATTTCCGGGAAAATGTATCCAACAAAATTAATTATCGTGAAAGGCCTATACACGAAACACACACACACACACTAGGGCTGCACGATTTTGGGAAAAAATCTAATTGCGATTTTTCTGACAAATATTGCGATTCGAATTGCGATATTTGTTTTCAAGTGACCCAACGGAAGTTTATTGTAAAATGCGGCCATAACTCCGGCTAGGAAGGTCGTATCAACGTACTCCCGCCTCTAGCACCCCCGCAGCCCGAGCTACGAGTGAAAGAACTAAACTTACATGAAACTTCCGTTGGGTTGCTTTAAAGTCAAGCTTCAGTTTCAGATTCACCCTGTGATAGATGTAAAACATGTGATGGAGCATAACTAACCTGACCCAGATGGTTCACCAAACCATCTAGGAAAGCTCCATTGGAAGCCATTTGGAAAATGTTGTTCATTTGTGTGTATGAATTATACGTTTTTGTTTTTGTATGATTTTAGTAGAAGAAAAAAAGAAAGGGCAGGCACTTTCAAAAATACTTGGCAGGTGATTGGATCAATCTGTTTATCACCTTCTATCATGGGCCACTTCTGATTTATTAACAATGGCTGGTACATGTGGAGCATAGCACTTCTGATTGGTGTGGATGACTGACACACAAGAAGAAAAAAAAAAATAGTAAAATAAATTGCAGGCTTTGCGATTTGATAATCGAATCATTTAAAATCGCGATTTCGATTTAAAATCGATGAATCGTTCAGCCCTAAAACACACACAAACAAATCTACAGACTTACTCCAAACTGCCAAATATATTAATTAACACACTCGCACTCTCATATACTATTTGACTCTATTTTGGCCCAGTAGAAAAATAAACAGCAGACTTTTACTTTTTTATAATTTCTACTGGATCTGCGCATGCGCAACACGGGTCGGCAGTGGCGGCTCCAGAGTATTTTTGTTGTGTAATCTATTATTTCACACACAGTGACGTCACGAGCTACCCACAATGCAACACGCGCCATATAAATATATATAAATGCGCCATTTTCCTGGAGGTGCTAATATCCTGGAAGTGTAAATATAAACAGCTAGCTAACGTAGCCAGGCAGAGCGCAGTAGGTTTTTTTTCTGAATTAACGACCGAAGAAATGGCTGCATGTTTTCGGATTACATCTCTGGACTTGAGGGGTGTGCTTTAGGTCGTTACCAGCGTAAACTAGAGCTGTGTGGGTTGTTACAGACTGCCTGCAGATGTATGGAGAAACGACAGTGGCCTTCGTCGATTTTGGCAGCATCTACGTCTATCTTCTGGAAACACCAGGTGAATACCCCACTTGTCACAATAATATTATCATGCCATTGCATATATGTGGTATTTTAGAGTTGACTAGATATTGATTAAGGCAATAGACTATATATTCAGTACAGGAAGTTTAGCAACACCTAGACGGTGTACGGCTGCTTGCACCTCGCTTAAAACGGCGCAGACCGGAAGTACGGTGTCGCGCTCGGCCCAATACCCGTATGTGTGTGAAAGAATAGTAGGGCTACAGTGGTGGGGCTCAAGTCAGTATTTGCAATGTAATTACATACACGCTATATCGCTATATTTTTTGAAATACTAACATAAAATACACATTCTGGTACTCTCTTGAGAAGAAAAATAAATAAATCTATTAATACACATCATGCAACGCACTAGCAGGACGGCGATCGCAATTGCGCAGGTCTGAGTCGGTCGCTCGTCTCAAACAAGCCTTAAAACATTGTTTAGCTATCTTGGTCAAAGTGTTGATGAACCAGTTTGTACCTTTTTGGTTTGATGAGCTTCAAGTCACCTGAGGCCTGTACGACGAAGCCGGATTTTCGCTTAGCGGGCTAACTTCAGGGAAAACTTGGGGTTTACGGTCCTACGACGCTGGTTCTCTTTTTAGCGGGTTAGATCTCCATGGTAACTTATGCTGAGCGCCGCTAACCTGCTCTGGAGCAGGTTAGGTTGCAGGCTAACCCCCAAAACACACCAGGAGCGTCTGCGCCGCGTTACGTTGCGGCTGCGCCACGCTGCGACCTCCTCCTGCGTCAACACACACCAGACGCGTTTCAAAACGTTGCGGAAGCGGAGCGTCGTGTGTGCAGCCTCGCAGTTGTTGTTGATTTTGGAATATTTCCTGGACATTTGTACTTCTACAAGTAAGTAGGCTATACGTAGTTAAATGGTTTATGTTTGTGTCTGTTTAAATCGTGTTTATTGTTGTTATTTCCTATTTTGTTGTGTTGTAGACTACAGACACAGTTAATAATAATTGTAATATTCCAGTTATAAACGACATGAATCAAAGATGTGTTGCTGTATTTTAGTGGTAAAAAAATATGCATTCATCATCATAATTATTCTATATATATCATTTACAGTGCCTGTAAACCGGAGGAGAACGCTGGCATGTATTCTCCTACTTGAAAGACTACGGGGGGATGGGGGGAGGAGTTTACCTTACGGCTGCGCCGCGGCAAAAATAGGATTCATCCTAATTTTAGAGAAGCGCTGCGCCGAGCCGCTTCTGGGACGCGTCTGAGCCGTAACGCGTCGCGTGTGGTGTAACAGCACCCATTGACTAGAGTGGCCGCGATCCTTACGACCGCCGCGGCGCGGCCGTAACGCGACGCAGACGCTCCTGGTGTGTTTTGGGGGTTAGAGATCAACTCAGTGAAAGCACGGCCTGCTGACCAATCAGAGCTCAGTGTGCGGACTTTAAAGTGATCAAGTCATATTACAGGAGAAAGGAAATACAGTTTAAACTGCTGTTGCAGGAAAGACGGCCGGCAAAAATCAACTGACCGTGTGAACGTGAACATTAATAGAATATCACCTCCCATCTTCAAAGCATTTTACAACTTATGTGGTAAGTTGCCAAAGTGCTTTGTTTTGAACGTTCATCAGTATTATAATCAAAAAGAGACATATGAACATTAGTTTTTACTGAAATGATCAAATAAAGTCAACATTTCAGTCTTTACTGAGCTGTGTGGAGTTTGTTCAACTTGTAAAATATGTTTGAATGGTGATATACACAGTGATAGATGTTAAGGACTAACACGTTTATAATAAATACATTTATATTTATTTTAAGATCTTTTCATACCATCATATGTATCGGGATCATTTGTATTAATGTGGACCGGAGGGAGAGGGTGACGAGCATACGTTTCACTTTCCTTTTTTATTTCAATTCCAACCTCGTTCAGGAAGAATATGTTTCTCGTGGTGGTCTCTTTATAGGGCTTTGCTTCAGTCATACTCATACAGGGGCTGTTACAAAGTCGAGGATGCTTCCTTCGTAGGACATGTCCTTCAGGTCCTTCTGAGGCTACGCAAGAATCCTTCCTAGCATTCGGAGAACGAAGAATGGAATAGGCTAGCAAGTGTGCAGGTGTGCGTCACATATGCAAGGCCCCGCTTTAAAAGGAGCGCGATTTGTTTGAAGACTCATAACTGATTTGCGAAGATCGAAGATGTACTTGAGTAACTGTATTTTATAAAAGGATCATCTCTCCAGGACAGAACCACTACACTAACATAAAACGTTCTCCTTCTGTTTGCAGCCTTGAAAAAGTCCTGGAGGATAAGCAGCCATAAAAAAATCATAAAATCACCATCACCAATCAATAATAAAATGTGTATTTATTCATATATCATACTTGATGTCTGCAACCCTTTTTTAAACATATTGGTGCACATTATAGCATAAACCACAAATATCAAGAAAAGAGGCAAAGTCAAAACAATTCATTTTAATTATTTATTTGGAGGCTCTGAAGGATCCTTCCTTGACATTGAGAAGCAGCCACAGTATAGGAAAAGCAATTTAAAATAAGTTTAAAAATAGAAAAGCATTTCCTTGTGTGTGTGGTTTAGGCAGGGATGTATAATAAGAACTGGAAACAGCGTGGGAGGCGGGGTCTCGTTCTTTCCTATGAGAGCTGCTCATTGGCGCATGAAGACAAAATGACCAAACTTTTGAGAGAGCGAAACGTCACAGATTACCCATCATGCCTGGCTGTCAAAGCAGAAGAACCGGATGTGCGCTCACAGAGCATGCGCCCCTTAAGCCCCGCCCCCCGAGCTCCCACTCTCGGCTCACTTGAATGAATGGAGAGAGAATATAAATCTTGATTCGGCTTTTAGTGCATTTTATAACTTTAAGGACCGAATGATTCTAATAAGGGCTATACAATAGTTCATACTGGGTAGTTTATTTAGTTAAAAAAAAGTATCCACCGATTTACAGACGTCTCTTTCTGCATGTTAGTCAATGGGAAAAAAATGTTTTGGGCCAGGTGACGTCACGGATTGATACGGAAGTTGCAGTGCCGCCGTTGGGACACAACAAATTTTGGGCACAGAGTCCGGCGCACTTCCTGGGGGCTTGGGTTTAGGGAGGGCGGCGCCCTATGGCCCCCTATGGGCCAGCCGCCACTGGGTAGAAGTACAAAGTAGCAAAAATATTGAGATACTCAAGTAAAGTACAAGTACTTCAGAATTGTACTTAAGTACAGTACTTGAATAAATGTACTTAGTTACTGAACACCACTGGGTTTAATTCACTCCCTAAGTATATTATATTTACATTCATCAGCACAAACAGGTACAGGTTTTTACAGTTTGATAATACAAAACAAATAAAACTCCAAATCGCATGCCTCGGTACCAAATGCCCCAAAATCCCAAATCTTACCCAGCAGTCAGTACCAATTGGTAAAATAAGAACAAGCCCTTATTTTTGTCATAACCCGGCTCCTATGCCTGACATAAATGTGAAAGGATGCAATGGATGCTGGTAAATTAAAGTATTTTATGTAATAAAGTAAACATGTACTTGAAAAAAACTCAGGATAACACCAAAGGAAGGCCGATACGGGTAGCTGCTCTCAGGAGGGAGTCCAGGAGAAGAGAGAGAAGGAAAGCGGCCTTCGCTCAGAATCTGTGTTACCTTCAAGGACAAGTGGAAAAATGTACAGGTGACAAAACAGAGGACTAGACTTCAACTGCCACACACACTCCACTACTGGTTTAGCCTCAGCTCAAGTTGAGCTCTTCGTAAAGATACCGGTCCAGCTCATGGAGAGTATTGATCAGAACCCTGCTGGCTGCAGCTCCTTTTCTTCGCACCGCGTCCACCACCTCTCGTGCACTTTCATTTTGGGGTTTGGCTCTGGCCGACGTCATTTCAGATTCGGTGATCACTTCAGACTCAAAGAGTTTATCCAGAAGGTCGTTCAGGACAGTTGGAGTCACTCTTTGAATGAACTCTGTCCGAACTGAGCGCAACCTCTGGTCTGCTGGGACTCGGCTCTCTGCTGGGACTCTGCTCTCTGCTGGTACTCTGCTCTCTGCTGGGACTCGGCTCTCTGCTGGGACTCGGCTCTCTGCTGGGACTCGGCTCTCTGCTGAGACTCTGCTCTCTGCTGGGACTCGGCTCTCTGCTGGGACTCGGCTCTCTGCTGGGACTCGGCTCTCTGCTGGGACTCGGCTCTCTGCTGAGACTCTGCTCTCAGATGGGACATTTCTCTGGGACAATTCATGCCTTGTATCTGGATGATAAACAGGGAATATACTTTTGTTAACGAACAATCACATTAAACAGATCTCTTAAAAATTACTCGACATTCCCTGAGGTGGATTTCTGTTCACTTAAAGTTATATTATGTAACATTTCCTCATTAAAATGTATAAAAACTCCTACACCTGTATTATTTATTTATTATCCACTTAAGCATGAGAAGCTGAAGACTGCAACTCCCATAATGCCATGCTGTTTCACCACCGCACCACACTAGGTTTTATTATGGTTTTAGAACATTACAGGTTGTGTGTTTAATGTAGTAATGATGCGCTGCCATGGAGCTTTAATGGAGAATGCTATGAGATGGAGCTTTAGAGTTATCCAGTCTATCTCTGGGTCTGAGCTCAGGTGGAGTCTTTACCTTCCAGTGACACGCGACAATACCAGACTACTTTTCCACCCTGGTCCTTGACCTTCAAAACCACTCTCTCTGTGCTCGTCGTCAGGGAAACTAGAAATGTCGGGTAGTAGTTTGGTCCAAACCTGGAATCAAATGTTTTACTCTGGAAACCAGAAGCAGAAGTTACATGTTTATCTGGATCTTTCCTGATTGTGAATCCACATGCAGATAAATGTGTGTTAATGATCATTGTGTTTCTTTAGAAGAGTATCAGTGACTCACCTCAGGCTGAATGAAGAAGCCCTCAGGTTCACAGTGCACACTGTAACTTCGATCAATGTCCAGCACACAGTCGGAGGAGATTGGGATGTTCACAGCACGTCTGTGTTTAACAACCTTCAGAAACAGGACATTTTGATCAATTTAAAACAACATGTTGACAGACCTGCTCTACAGAGATATTTGAATTACAATCAATTAAGAATAACAGATTGAGGACATATGTGAGTAGATTAATTAAAGTGTATTGGTTACATATTTTTGGATGAAATTCCAATTCTCCAACACATGTTTTAATATATGTATTAGGGTTGTTTACAGAGCCCCTAAAGCAGGGGTGCCCAACCAGTCGATCGACCGGTCGATCGCGGGGAGATTCCCAGTCGATCCCGAGATGTGTCTAAAAATAGAACAACAATATTCAGTTTTATCGTTAATGTCCTGTAACACAGTGTTTCTCAAACTTTTTCATACCAAGGACCACTTAACCAATAAAAAAACACTCGAGGACCACCTAACTCCACAAATATCCAAAAACACATCGTTTTTTAAAAATCGCCTGAAAATGGTACCAACAAGTGGCAACACGTGTGATGAAGGTGTTTATCTGGGCTATATCATGCAATCGAAAGTGAAACTTAAGCTTGCTCCATTGCGGAGATATTCCCGCGAGAGTGCGAAAAACTTAAATTACTTAATTAATTTCAAATGTGAAATGTTACCAATATACTCACGGACCACTAGGGGGCGCTCACGGACCACCAGTGGTCCGCGGACCACACTTTGAGAAGCACTGCTGTAACATAATCTTCCTGTGCCAGAATAATGCGCTTGAACGCATCAAAGCTTTGTGATTGGCGTGACCCCATGTGTCGGGGCGTGGCTGGTGAGCAGTGGGCACTAGTTAGCTGACGTTGTCCGTGTCAACAGGAGTGACACGGACACACACAAGACCGCAATTATGGCAGAAGCAAAAAAGCCCAAAATATATCATTTTCACTCCGAGAGGGAGGATGATTAATTTGTATTCCAATTCAAAGTCCATCTGTCTCATCTGCAATGCGAGCGTGGCTTTACCGAAGAAGGGTAATTTAGAGCGGCATTTCAAAACGGTGCACAAACGCTACGAGACGGAATTCCCTCCTAATTCTGCCCTACGCTCTTCTGTTCGTTGCGTGCATATGTAAGTTGTAACAGAGTTAAACATGTGAATAAATAATTATAAGTTCGTGAATGTTTCATTCACAATAAGTTGTGAATTTTAAGAGAAGAGATTGTTTCATTTAATATTTTAAGTTTTGTTTCCCGTGGGAACACCTTCCCGTTGCACGTCTTTGTTTACTTCCGGTATATATTTTCCACCCTCCGCGGACAGGCCATCTGGAGAATCACACAACGCACGGTCGACGATGCTCGATTCGCTGACGGAAGTGCCGCTCTACATTTTTTATGTTTTTAAAAGTTGCACCAACAGAGGTCCGCCGTTTCCCCGCAGCGAGCCTCCCTCCCAGTTGACAGTTCGCTAGCACTTGGTCAAAAAAAGGTTGGGCACCCCTGCCCTAAAGGGTCATGAAAAAAAATAAAAAGAGTATCTTGTGCGCTCGAAAAAGTTACCGGTTCACCAAGTAGGAGAGATGTGCCTTTTACAGTCTCTGCTTATCTTTCTTACAGTGCAGACGCTTTTCTGCTTGCTCTTGCCTCTGCTTACTTTTTATGCTGATTTTCCTATTCTTATTCTCTGAAAACTTCGAGCAGCGGCTCCTGGACATTAACTTATCACTGGGACAGTTCATCTTCGTAAATAGACGGAGGGTTTCAGCCATATTTCAACATTTTTACAACGACGTCAGTCTTACAGTAGCGTGGCCTAGCAACAGCTAAAGCCTGGTAGGCTGCTGCATGCTATTTAGCTAGTTGGTAGCAAAATGCCTCCGTTCTCTACAGATGACTTCCAGAAACTTATACAGAAGATGGCTGTGTTGGAAATGAAAATGCAACGGTTGGAAGTTAACATGGAAGTGAATGGACTAGGTTGGAATGACACCACTTTACCAGTGTTGCAAAATAATGGAGAAGGGTATGCTAACTCACAGCTAGTTAGCAGCTACAAAGGATTCCAAGGAACAGGAGGGCTGTGTACCGGGTAATAAATCTACAAGTGGTAGTCCTCCCTGGAACTCTCTGGGTGCAAAGCCTAAGAGTAAATCATTTCCATGGGATTTGGGAGGACGGATAACAGGCAGAGCCCAGAGCTCCGAAATCTGTGATGCGACCGGCTGGCCTGCATTGTTATCACCCAGGATCAACCCCTATTCATACTAGGAAACAGCAGTGGACAGCTGCTAAAGGGAGAATTACAAACAATCCTCCTAAACCACCAAGTGTGCCAATCCAGAACAGATACGCTCCGCTGACCGAGAACCGGAGATCTGATGACCTGGATAACCTGTCCTCTTCACGCAGCAGGGTAAGGACCAATAGCTACTCCAAAAGTAAAAGGCTAGAGGGAAAGCTAACGACTGGGCCTGAAACTCTGATTGTGGGTGACTCTGCTGTAAGAGATGTAAAAGGTCTGTGTAATAAGAACAACACCAAAGTACTCTGTTTTCCCAAGGATGTGGTCTCTGACTTGGCTGAGAAGATCCTGCATATTGGGGCTGAACATCCGACTGTGAAGAATGTGGTACTGCACATTGGAACAAATGATGTTGTGAAACAACAGTCAGAAGTGCTGAAAGAAGACTTTAAATGTTTGTTGGAAACTGCCAGCTCTCTAAATGCAGAGGTGTTCATCAGTGGCCCTCTACCGCCAGTCAGAAGAGGAGTGGAGAGATTCAGCAGATTGTTTGCACTGAACACCTGGCTTTCAACGGCCTGCACTGACCATTCTGTTCATTTTATTGACAATTTTAACTTTTTATGGGATCGCAGACATCTTTTCAAGGCAAATGGAGTTTGCCTGAACAAGTCAGGAGTGAAATTGTTTATCTCTAACATATTCAACTGCCTGCGTCATCAATCTGTTCCCTCTACCAAGGACAAGCAACAAGAGGAATCAAAACAGGAGAAAGACACAACACATCACGCAGAAAACCCTGAAGAATTATCACTGCACCCGCCTGAGGAATGTTCTGATTATGGGAGACCTATGACACACATGGAGGAGTCTCCACTGCCCATCACCCCCCCCCCCCCCTGTCAACACCTTTGAGGATACTCCGTTCACCCTTTCACCCTCGCCCACCCTCCTGGAGATCGCTGAACACACAAAGGAGATACAGAGGGTTGGCACCGATTCCTTCCTGGAGTTCAAAGACCAAACGAAGGCGATACGCAGGATTGGCAGCATGTCCTTTACCCCCGCTCCTCAACGACGCCCACCAAAATCACTGCAGAGACGCGCACCATCTCCCCCGTCCTCATCACCGCGCCTACGTCAACCACCTCCCCCCCCTGGCAGCATGTCCTCTACCCCCGCACCATCTCGCCCGTCTCCATCACCGTGCCTACGTCAACCACCTCCCCTCCCTTCAAGAAAGCATCTGCAGTCTCCGAAGCCTGATAAGGATGTGTGTGTACAAAACACAACAAACTCTTACTGATATGTGATGGGTCCAGGCTCAAGGATGTATGGCACTCTCAACTCTTTCCAGGACATGTCGGGGCCCTGCCTGCCAGTAGCTTTGCCGATATCTGTGTTGATAGGTAATAGATTAAGAGCGGTGAATCATAGAAACAGGAAGTGCTCAAACGTTTGTGTGAGTTTATCTAATTTAGCAGTGATTCCATGTCAGCCACAGCTTGTTACAAAAAACATGACTGATAGTGTGTTTAACAAACTTAAACTAGCTTTATTAAATGTCAGGTCTTTGGCAGGAAAAACATTTTTAATCAATAATTTTATCACTGAGCACAATCTCGATTTTATGTTTTTAACAGAAACTTGGATTGAACAAAATAACAGTGCAGCTGTTCTTATCGAATCAACCCCTCCCAACTTTAGTTTTATGAGTCAGGAAAGAATGCATAAGAAAGGGGGTGGAGTTGCTATTCTGTTCAATGATTCCCTTCAATGCAGGAAGACATCGTATGGGAACTTTGATTCTTTTGAATATGTGGCCCTTCAGCTGAAATGCTCCTCTCGAGCTCTGTTCCTAAATATCTATAGACCACCCAAATACTGTGCAAGCTTTTTTGATGACTTTACTGAACTGCTGTCTATAGTGTGTATTGACTTTGACCGTCTAGTCATTGTTGGTGATTTTAACATCCATGTTGACAACCCCCAGGACAGAGGGGCAAAATAACTGTTTTGTGTTCTTGATAGCTATGGACTGACTCAGCATGTGACGGAGCCCACGCACAATAAGGGGCACACTCTGGACTTAATTATCTCAAAGGGTCTGAATATCTCTAAAGTTGTGGTGACTGATGTTGCACTCTCTGACCATTCCTGTGTTTTCTTTGAGAGCTCTATTTCTGTTCACAAAAATGTTCAAAAAGAGGTAACCACAAAGCGATATTTAACTGAAAATACTAGAGAAATGTTTACTCAGAATTTTTCTTCCACACTTGCCCCTGCTAACATCTCAGTAAATGAGCTAGTAGATCATTTTAATTCAAAAATAAAAAATGTTATAGATGCCATTGCTCCAACTAAGGTAAAGGAAGTGTCTGGCAAGAAAATATCTCCATGAAGAAAGGCCATGAGCGTGAAAACAGAAAAAAGAGAATGTCGAAAATCTGAACGCAGGTGGCGAAAAAACAAATCTCCAGGTTCAATTTGAAATCTATAAAGAGAGACTTGGCCTTTATAATTTGGAATTGAAAAACGCACGACAATCGTTCTTCTCTGACATCATTACCAAAAACAAAAACAACGCACGTGCCTTGTTTGCTACCGTCGACAGACTAACTAACCCCCCAGTGTCAGTAGCCTCTGAATTTCTATCCACCAGGGCGTGCAATGATTTTGCCTTCTTCACTGACAACATTCAGAAAATCAGACAAGCAGTCAGTGCCTCTGCATCAGGAACAGCAAATGTGTTGTCCCTATCTCCACTTAACATCAATTCAGACATCATGACAAAATTCCATCAGATTAATGATAAAAACCT